GGGGAGGGGGAAGGGAGCTCAGGAATAAATGGTGGGGTGATGGGGCTGGGGTGTAAGGTAGGTGGGACGGTGATAAGTGGATGCAGGTAGGGGGTTGTAGAGACTGGTCGGGGTAAGGGTGGAGCGGATAGGTGAGAAGGAAGATGGACATAGTTTGTTTCATGGAATGTGGCCTGTGCTGGCAAGGTCAGAGCTTGCTGGATGGTAGTTAAGAGTTAACCACATTGCTGTGGGACTGGAGTCACTTGTAGGCCAGGCCAGGTAAGGATGGCAGTTTCCTTCCCTAAAGAACATTACACTTCAACAGGACTTAATTGACTGCAAAATGCTTCATGATATCCTGTGGTTGTGAGAGATTCTTTACTTTTAATTTGCTATCTAAATATAGCCTGAAAGATGATTCCGTTCACTTCCAGTTGCTGTCTGTATATTTAACATGCAGCAGAGCCCGGTTGTTGAGAAAAACCCAGGAAGAAATAGGTCAGGCCAACAGAGAATTAACAAGAAAGAACGTGATAGTAAAGAAAGAGGCCAATCATCCTATTGTATCAGTGTCGGCTGTCCCAATAGTCCTAGTCCACTCCTTTCCCTTCACAGCTCTGCACATCATTTCCCACAAGATATCCACTAAATTCTTGTGAGCTTTTCTTTTATCAATGATGTGGAGGTGTTGGTGTTAGACTGGAGGTGGACAAAGTCAGAAGTCACACGACACCAGGTTATACTCCAACAAGTTTATTTATTTTTCGTTATTCGTTCATGGGATGAGGACATCGCTGGGCAGGCAGCATTTATTGCCCATCCCTAATAGCCCAGAGGGCAGTTAAGAGTCAACCACATTGCTGTGGGTCTGGAGTCACATGTAGGCCAAACGAGGTAAGGATGGCAGTTTCCTTCCCTAAAGGACATTAGTGAACCAGATGGGTTTTTTTTATCGATGATGGATACATGGTCATCATTCAATTCTTAATTCCAGATACTTATTGAATTCAAATTCCACCATCTGCCATGACGCGATTCGAACCCAGGTCCCCAGAACGTTATCCGGATCTCTGGATTAACAGACCATTGCTTCCCCTTTAAAATTTGAAAACACAAGCTTTCAGGGTGTAGTGAAGTGATTTCATCTGACAAAGGAGCAGCATTCCAAAAGCTTGTGAATTCAATTAAACCTGTTCGACTATAACCTGGTGTCGTGTGACTTCTGACTTTTTAAAATCTATTCAAAGGATATGGCCTTCTCTGGCGAGGCCAGAGTCACAATTGAATCTGCTTCTAGTATTCATTCAGTCCAGGTATTAGCACCTCACCATTTTATGAAAATGCTTCATCATCTCTGCACTGGCCCTTAAATCTGTGTCCCTTGGTTACCGATCTTTCTCTCAACAGTAACAGTTTCACCTCACTTAACACAACAAAAACCCTTCGTCATTTTGAGCAGCTGTACAAAGGCCAGTTTCTCCAGTCTCTCCATGGCTCGGAAGAACTTCACCCTGGGCACCATCCCAGTGTATTCTTTCTGAATCAACTCCAAAGCCATGACAATGCTTCGATAGAAAAGACAGACAGAAGTGAACAACTAGGCATGATAGCCAGGGATAACAAGGTGTAGAGCTGGATGAACACAGCAGGCCAAGCAGCATCAGAGGAGCTGGAAGGCTGACGCTTTGGGCGTAGAACCTTCTTCAGAAATGGGGGAGGGGAAGGGGGTTCTGAAATAAATAGGGAGAGAGGGGAGGCAGCTAGAAGATGGATAGAGGAGAAGATAGGTGGAGAGGAGACAGCCAGGTCAAAGAGGTGGGAATGGAGCCAGTAAAGGTGAGTGTAGGTGGGGAGTTAGGGAGGAGATAGGTCAGTCCAGGGAGGACGGACAGGTCAAGGGGGCGGGATGAGGTTAGTCGGTAGGAGATGGGGGTGGGGCTTGAGGTGGGAGGAGGGGATAGGTGGGAGGAAAGACAGGTTAGGGAGGCGGGGACAAGCTGGGCTGGTTTTGGGATGCGGTGGGGGGGGGAGGGGAGATTTTGAAGCTTGCGAAGTCCACATTGATACTATTGGGCTGCAGGGTTCCCAAGCGAAATATGAGTTGCTGTTCCTGCAACCTTTGGGTAGCATCGTTGTGGCACTGCGGGAGGCCCAGGATGGACATGTCGTCTGAGGAACGGGAGGGGGAGTTGAAATGATTCGTGACTGGGAGGTGCAGTTGCTTAGTGCGAACCGAGCGTAGGTATTCTGCAAAGCGGTCCCCAAGCCTCCGCTTGGTTTCCCCGATGTAGAGGAGGCCACACCAGGTACAGCGGATGCAGTATACCACATTAGCAGATGTGCAGGTGAACATCTGCTTGATGTGGAAAGTCTTCTTGGGGCCTGGGATGGGGGAGAGGTGTAGGGGCAGGTGTAGCCCTTCCTGCGGTTGCAGGGAAAAGTGCCGGGTGTGGTGGAGCTGGAGGGGAGTGTGGAGTGGACAAGGGAGTCACGGAGAGAGTTGTCCCTCCGGAAAGCAGATAAGGGTGGGGAGGGAAAGATGTCTTTGGTGGTGGGGTCGGATTGCAGATGGCGGAAGTGTCGGAGGATGATGCATTGGATCCGGAGGTTGGTGGGGTGGTACGTGAGGACGAGGGGGATTCTTTTTTGGTTCTTATTGCATGGACGGGGTGTGAGGGATGAGTTGCGGGAAATGTGGGAGACACAGTTGAGGGCGTTCTCGACCACGGAGGTGGGGGAAGTTACGTTCCTTGAAAAACGAGGACATCTGAGATTTTCGGGAGTGGAATGCCTCATCCTGGGAGCAGATGCAGCGGAGGCGAAGGAATTGGGAATAGGGGATGGCATTTTTGCAGGAAGGTGGGTGGGAGGAAGTGTATTCTAGGTAGCTGTGGGAGTCGGTGGGCTTGAAATGAATATCGGTTTCTAGGTGGTTGCCAGAGATGGAGACAGAGAGGTCCAGGAAGGAGAGAGAGGTATTAGAGAAGGTCCAGGTAAACTTAAGGTTGGGGTGGAAGGTGTTGGTGAAGTGGATGAACTGTTCGAGCTCCTCGTGGGAGCACGAGGCGGCGCCGATACAGTCATCAATGTAACGAAGGAAGAGATGGGGTTTAGGGCCAGTGTACGTACGGAAGAGGGATTGTTCCACGTAACCTACAAAGAGGCAGGCGTAGCTTGGGCCCATGCGGGTACCCATGGTCACCCCCTTTGTCTGTAGGAAGTGGTAGGAATTGAAAGAGAAGTTGTTGAGGGTGAGGACGAGTTCGGCTAAGCAGATGAGGGTGTCAGTGGAGGGGGACTGGTCGGGCCTGCGGGACAGGAAGAAGCGGAGGGCCTTTAGGCCATCTGTATGGGGAATGCAGGTGTATAGGGACTGGACAGCCATGGTAAAGATGAGGCATTGGGGACCGGGGAATTGGAAGTTCTGGAGGAGGTGGAGGGCGTGGGTGGTGTCACGGACGTAGGTAGGGAGTTCCTGGACCAAGGGGGAGAAAATGGAGTCGACATAGGTGGAGATAAGTTCGGTGGGGCAGGAGCAGGCGGAGACAATGGGTCGACCAGGGCAGTCAGGTTTGTGGATTTTGGGAAGGAGATAGAAGCGGGCAGTGCGGGGTTGGGGAACGATGAGGTTGGAGGCTGTGGGTGGGAGGTCACCTGAGGGATGAGGTTGTGGATGGTTTGGGAGATGATGGTTTGGTGGTCGGGGGTGGGGTCATGATCAAGGGGGCGGTAGGAGGAGGTGTCGGAGAGTTGGCGTCTGGCCTCGGCGATGTAGAGGTCAGTGCGCCATACTACAACTGCGCCTCCCTTGTCCGCGGGTTTTATGGTGAGGTTGGGATTGGAGCGGAGGGTGCGGAGGGCTGCACATTCTGCGGGGGAGAGGTTGGAGTGGGTGAGAGGGGTGGAGAGGTTGAGGCGATTGATGTCTCAACGGCAGTTGGAGATGAAGAGGTCAAGGGAGGGTAGGAGACCTTGGGGTGGTGTCCAGGAGGACAGGGTGTGTTGGAGGCGGGAGAAGGGGTCAGTAGAGGGAGGGTTAGGCTCACGGTTGAAGAAGTAAGCATGAAGGCGGAGGTGACGGAAATACTGTTCAATGTCCAAGCGTGACCGGTATTCGTTGATGTGTGGGTGGAGGGGGACAAAGGTGAGCCCTTTACTGAGGACTGACCGTTCGTCCTCAGTAAGGGGGAGGTCTGGGGGGATGGTGAAGACTCGGCAGGGCTGGGTGCTGCTGTCTCCTCTGGAGCTGCTGGCTGTGGAGGCGGTGGGCAGAGCAACGTCGGTGTCAGTGGTGGGCCGTGCGGCGTCGGCGTCGGTGGTGGGCCGTGCGGCGTCGGCTGTGGGCGGAATTGCGTCGGCGGTGGTGGGCGGAGTTGGCTGGGCAGAACTTGAAGTTTGGTGAAGAAAAATGATATGCTTTCAAAGTTCTTCACCTTGCACCCATTTCTTTGGGTTTTTTTTTGCAATAGGCTGAGTGTTCAAAAGTAGTTGTGCTTGCAAATCTCAAAGAAATGATGCATGTGTCGATGTGCCTCAATAATTGGACAACACTTGCTCAGTAATCCCGAACGTGTTAAAGATTACACTAACAACCAATTTAAGATTATCAGCAGGGCTCACAACATGAATGAATATGCTGGCTAAAGTCTGTCCTGTGCAGTAAGAAGGAACCTATCTGGCATTGTGCCTTTTTCTTAATTAAACAAAAGTACAGGTCACAATGTTCCCTGCTGCATTCTCCTTTGCAACACCTCGGACCAGTCGACTCGCCAACCAATCAGCATCCTTTTCTCAGAGAGTATTAATCCCCCATGGGGAGGCAATGGCCTAGTGATATTACTGATAGACTATTAAACCAACAACTCAGTTAATGTTCTGGAGACCTAAGTTCAAATCCTGTGATGGCAGATGGTGAAGTTTGAATTCAATAAAAAGAATTGGAATTTAGAATCTACTATTGACCATGAAACCACAGTCAATTGTCATAAAATCCCAGCTGGTTCACTAATGTCCTTCAGGGAAGGAAATCTGTCATTTTTTTCCTGGTCTGGCCTACATGTGGCTACAGACGCATAGCAAAGTGGTTGGCTCTTAACTGCCTTCTGGGCAATTAGATAAGGGCAATAAATGCTGGCCTAGCCAATGATGCCCTCATGCCATGAATGAAAAAAACAGAAATTGCTGGAAAATCTCAGCAGGTCTGGCAGCATCTGTGAAGAGAAAATCAGAGTTAACGCTTCGGGTCCGGTGACTCTTCCTCTGTTGTGAGAAAGGGTCACCAGACCCGAAACGTTAACTCTGATTTTCTCCTTCACAGATGCTGCCAGACCTGCTGAGATTTTCCAGCAACTTCTGTTTTTGTTCCTGATTTACAGCATCCGCAGTTCTTTTGGTTTTTAAAACAATTGTTGCCCCTAATGAAATGTGGCATTCTTTCATCTGTTCTGATGAGTGCAAGACAAAAAGGTTTGACAGCCTATCTCATTTCCTTCAGAAAATAGAAAATAGGAGGAGTAGACCAATCGGCCCTTCGAGCCTGCTCTACCATTCATTACGATCATGGCTGATCATCAAACTCAATATCCTCTTCCTGCTTTCACCCCATACCCTTTGATCTCTTTAGCCCTAAGAGTTATAATTAATTCCTTCTTGAAAACATTCAATGTTTTGGCTTCAACTGCTTCCTGTGGCAGAGAATTCCACAGGCTCACATCTCTCTGGGTGAAGAAATTTCTCTCCATCTCAGGCCTAAATGGCCTACTCTTTATCCTTAGACTGTGACCCCTGGTTCTGCACTCCCCAGTCATCAGGAACACTCTTCCTGCATTTACACTGTATAGGCCTGTTGGAATTTTGTAGGTTCCTATGAGATCCCCTCCCTCATTCTTCTAAACTCCAGTGAATATAGTCCTAAACAATGCAGTTTCTCTTCCTATGGCACTCCTGACGTCCCAGGAATCAATCTGGTAAACCTTTGTTGCACTTCCTCCATTGCAAGAACATCCTTCCTCAGATAAAGAGACCAAAACAGCACTCAATATTCTGGATGTGGTCTCACCAAGGCACCAAATAATTGCAGCAAGAACATCCTTGCTCCTGTACTCAAATCCTCTCACTATGAAGGTCAACATACCATCTGCCTTCTTCACCACCTGTATTTATCACAGCTGTACCTGTTGGTTACAGCAAAAAAAATAGACATAGAGTCATTCAACACTGAAACAGACCCCTCGGTTCAACTAGTCCATGCCAACCATAATACTAAACTAAACTAGTCCCACTTGCCTGCTCCTGGCCCATATCCCTCCAAACATTTCTTATTCCTGTTCTTATCCAAATGTCTTTTAATTGTTGTAACTGTACCCACATTCACCACTTCCTCTGAAGTTCATTCTATACACCAACCACCATCTGTGTAAAAGTTGCCCCTCATTTCTTTTTAAAATCTTTCTTCTCTCAATTTAAAAATATGCCCCCTAGTTTTGAATTCACCCACCCTAGGGAAAAGACACCTGTTATTCACCTTATCTGTGCCCCTCATCATGTTATAAACCTCTATAAGGTCACCCCTCAACCTCCTATGCTCCAGTGAAAAAAGTCCCGCCTCTCCTTAAAACTCAAACCCTCCTTTGCTGGCGACATCCTGGTAAATCTTTTCTGAACCCTCTCCAGTTTAATAAGATCTTTCATATGACAAGGTGACATTGATGCAAAGTATCTGAGGTAGGTGTATTCATACCGGACACTCTGTGATGTTCTGGTTCCACAGGCTCATGTTGGAACTGTCTTCAATGGTAGTACATCTCTTCTGTCTCAGGTCCCAGCCACAGTAAGGATCCCTCACTCCCAGACAATTTCTGCCAATCAGATACCACCATGAATAATTAAACAACAGAAAAAAATCGTATAAATTCCATTACCAAAGTAAAATGTTCTAATCACAGAGAAAATTTTAAAAACCTCTTCAGCAGCTGTGATTTGTCTGGTCCAGAGATCTGTTAAATAAATCTTCAAATGGTTAAAGATATATTTGTTTGTATCAAAGGACCCAATCCACAGGGCAGCACCATGACGACAAAAGGTCAGTAACAAGGAACGCAACACAAGAAGAGTTGAGAAATCAGGAATGAAAACACAAGATGAGTCCGATAATTTTGTCAACTTTACCTTTTTAGTGCATTAGGAGCGATGTAGATGAAACAGGCAGATGATGTAGGAGCTATAAGGTCAACCTGACCTGGTTTGCTACCTTTCTTGTCACAATTATTCACTGACAATTTTTTTTTGGCACCATTTTCATCTGCCTCTGAAACTGCAACCTGAGACACATGTTTAATTCTTGTTTTAATTCTGGTAGGCCCACTCACACAACACCACTCTGTGCCTGAAAGCTCCCAGTTTGGCACTGTATTGATTTCAACGACTTTCATCATTCTTTTCAAATCCCTCCTTGAACTCATTCCTGCCTGTAACCCCATCTTTACAATTTCTTCCATCTCTATAACACTCTTCAATAACCGTACTCCTCCAATTTTGATCTCTTGTGAATCTTCAGTTTTAACTGTTTCACCGCTGAAAGCTGTACTTTCACATGCCTGGACCCTAAGCTCTGATATTCTTTTCCTACATCTCTCTGCTTCTCTCTCTCTCGCTCTCCTTCTTTCTTTATCTCTCTCTTTCCTTTAGGCAACTCCTCAGAGCTTAGCTCTTTAATCAAATATTTGGTCACAAATCATCAATCTTAATATCCAAGTTACGAAGAACTGGACTTGAAACGTTAAGTCTGTTTCTCCCTCCACAGATGCTGCGAGACCTGCTGAGTTTCTCCAGCACTTTCTGTTTGTATTTCAGATCTCCAGCACCTGCTGTATTTCATGCCTAATGTCCTAATATATCCTTATGCGAAATCCATATCAAATCTGGCTTGATCATTGTTACTGGAGGTGCACTTAGGGAGACAGTATTTCACTGTGTTAATGTCACTTTATAAATGCTGTTCTTGCTTTCAGATTTTGTAGAATTTGAAAGGAACAATGATTTGTAGAATTGTTTCTTGGGCCCCTGATAAAATCTGAAGATCTCTGGCAATATTGCAGATCAGCTGCATTTGAGCTCAGTTTAGCTCGGACTCACTTACATGGATATCTTCCTTTCTGTCCCAGCTGTATTTAAGTGAGTAGCACTCTTATCACTGACCCAGAAATCTATAGGGTCAAACGTCACGCCTCACTGAGACATAAATATAAACTCCAGGCCGAAATGTCCATTTATGGCATGTCACTGTGTTGGGCTTCAGAGATGTTAAATCCAGTAAAGATTCTTGCTACAATTGTACACAAGTCTGTGTGAGACCACACCTGGAATACCATGTCCAGTTTTAGTCACCACATTTGAGAAGGATATATTTGCATTGGAGGCAGACCACCGAAATTCATTCGATTGCCCCCTGGGATGAGGTGCTGTCTTAAGACAAGAGGCTGGGACATATGAATTGACCTAAACTCTTTGGTGTTCAGAAGAATAAGAGGCAATCCCACTGACAAAGGAGACACTGGGAGCTTGTTTTCACTGGTTATGGAATCTAGAACACACAGCCTCAGGATAACAGGGCAATTGTTTAGAATCATAGGATTTTACAGTACAGAAGGAAGCCATTTGACCCATTGTGTCTGTACAAGCTCCTGAAAGAGTTACCCAGCCAGTCCCATTCTCCAGCCCTGTCTCCATAGCCCTCTCAATTCATCCCTTTCAAATTTACCTCCAAGTCTGTCTTGAAACCTCCTATAGAATCCAGCTCCACCACTCTTCCAGGCACTGCATTCCAAATCCTAACAACGCTCCTTATCACACGCCTAGCTCTCTTGCTTGAAATTGTGACAGATCAGCTATTAGAAACAGACTATCCTTCTTTACTCAGTCAAAATTGTTCATGAATTAGAACACCTCAACAATGTCACCTCTTAATCTTCTTTGTTCCAAGGAGAATTTCTCTAATCTTTCCTTGTATCTAAAATCCCTCATTCCTAGTGTCATTCTAGTAAATCTCCTTTGAACTCTCTCCAGGGCGTTAACATCCTTCCTTAAATAAGGTGCCCAGAACTGAACACAATACTCCAAATGTGGTCTGACCGATGATTTGCAGAGGTGTAGCATCACTTCCTTGCTTTTATACTCAATGCCTCTATTTATAAACCCAAGGATCCGATAAGCTTTCTTAACAACTTCAAGTTGCCTGGCCACCTTCGCCCCCAAGGTCTCTCTGCTCCTGTACTCCTGTCAAAGTTGTACCATTGAGCCTGTATTGTCTCTCTATGTTTCTTCTACCAAAATACATTACCTCACAATTCTCTGCATTGAAATTAATCTCGCAGTTGTCTGCTAATTTGGCCAACTTGTCAATGTCCCTCTGAAGTCGCTCAGCGATATCCTCACAATTCACTATTCGCCCCAGCTTAGTCCCTTGACAAAATTTAGAGATTTTGCCCTCAACACCCATCTGCAAATCGTTCATATAAATCAGAAAAAGCAAGGGTCCCAACACAGCCCTCTGGGAACACTGTTTACAACTCGTATCCAGACTGAGAAATGCCCTGTACCTACCCTCTGTTGCCTATCTTCTATGACAGAGAAGACTCGATGAGCTGAATGGCCTAATTCTGCTCATACACCTAATGGTCTTTATCTTCACTGGGCCTGGTGACTTCTCTACCTGGAGTGCTACCAGCCTTTTTAACACCTCTTCTTTATCTGTCATGCTGCTGCTCAGTTGCTCAACGCCCACATTTTCAACTGGGCCTTGTCACCATTTTCTAATTTGGTAAAGACAGAAGCAAAATACTCATTTAGTATCTCTGCCGTCCCCTTTGCTTCAGTGATCTGATTTTTTTAAAATTAATTCACAGGATGAGGGTGTCGCTGGCTAGGCAGCATTTATTTCCCATCCCTAATTGCCCAGAAGGCAGTTGAGAGTCAACCACATTGCTGTGGGCCTGGAGTCACATGTAGGCCAGAACAGGTAAGGATGGCAGTTTCCTTCCCTCAAGTACATTAGTAAACCAGATGGGTTTTTTTCCCGACAATCGATAATGGATTCGTGGTCATCATTGGACTGCTAATTCCACCATCTGCCGCGGTGGGATTTGAACTCAGGTCTCCAGAACTTTATCTGGGTCTCTGGATTAACAGTCCAGTGATAATACTACTAGGCCATCGCCTCCCCGCATTACCCTGCTTGTTCCTAATGGGTCCCACTCTATCCTTCTCTCATCTTCTGCTATTAATATGTTTGAAGAACATCTCACTAATAACTGTTTTAGCACAGCCTGCCATCCTTTCCTCATACTTCCTCTTAATTTCCTCCTCCCATAGGGGCTTCCTGGTGTGGCGTGTCACTAGCGCGGTGTGGAGCCAGGGCCCAATGTGGACTGGAAGCTAAGTGCCAGCACGGTCTGCGATAATGAACACTTTTGTGTAATGTGGGACATCTTATTTCTGTAACAAATCTTGTAACAAAAGAAGCTGTGCCTCGGTACTTTTGTATCTAAGTCGGCTCTGTAATTGGCGATGTATACACTTTTCACTATACCCATTGAGTATTTGTGACAACAATTATTCTATTCCATTCTGTTCTGCTCCATTCTGTTCTATTCTAGTCTCTCTCCTGCATTTGAGATACTCTTCCTGACTTCTATTGCTTTTAATCATTCCTGTGCACTTCCTTTCTCTTCCTCATTTTCTCATCAATATCCTTAGTCATCCAGACTACTCTAGCTTTGGATAGCCCATATTTATTTCTTATGCATATGTACTTAGCTTGCACCCTATTCATCTCTCTTTTGAAAGTCTCCCATTTTTCACCTACTGTTTTATCCAGTTTAGCGCTGAGATGAGGGGAAATTAATTTGTTCAAAGGGTTGCAAATCTTTGGAATTCTCTACCCCGGAAGATTAAGGATGCTCCATCATTGGGTATATTTAAGTCTGGCACAGACAGATTTCTGGTCTCCCAGGGAATCCACGGGTACTGTGGCACTGAAGTGGGTTGGTTAGTTCAGTTGGCTGAATAGCTGGTTCGCGACACACAGTGATACCAACAGCATGGGTTCAATCCTTGCACGAGCTGAGATTACCATGAAGCATGATCCTTCTTAACCTCTCCCCACCACCTGAGGTGTGGTGACCCTCAGGTTAAACCAATCACCAGTCGTCCGTCTGTAATGACAGAGCAGCCCTGGGATTATGGTGACATTTTACAATACAGCGTTGAAGTCCAAGACTAGCCATGACCGTGTTGATTGGTGGGGCAGGCTAGATGGGCCAAATTGTGTACTCCTGCTCCTGTTTCTTGTGTTTTTGTGAATAAGGCAGAGTGGAAGGACCCACGTAGCTTAGTACGAAGGGAAACAGAGTCTGGCTGATGGGACAAAGCTATTCACCTGACCCTTCCTTCCATCCTCTCTGACTGTTTTCAGAAAAGACTCAGTGATAATCTTGCTGTAGAGTAGTCAGTTCCATTTGGTGAGCTGAACAGCTGCATCCATCACACTGAGACCACACGATGGGAACAAAAGGACAAAGAGAATTGATGTAGGCAGGAGAGGGAGAGATAGCATGAATAGGAGCCTATCAGGAGACAGGGGAATGATAGAACAGGAGTACGACTTGTGGTGCGGTGGTTGTGTCCCTATCTCTAGGCTAGAAGGCCTAGGTTCAAGTCTCACCTCTTCCAGAGGTGTGTCACAATGCATCTGAACAGGTTCATTAGAAAATATCTACAATAGAAATAGGGAACTGGATGACAAACTGTGGAACACTAAAGACAGACAAGGCTAAAGTGATCCAAGCTCATTTTAAGAGAG